GTAATATGTTGTCCTGTGGCCAGTTGTCCTGTGGTCTGCTGTCCTGTAGTCTGTTGTCCTGTGGTCTGTTGTGCTGTAGTATGTTGTCCAGTGGTCTGTTGTCCTGTGGTCTGTTGTCCTGTAGTCTGTTGTCCTATAGTCTGTTGTCCTATAGTCAGTTGTCCTGAGGTCTGGTGTCCTGTGGTCTGTTGTGCTGTAGTCTGTGGTCCTGTGCTCTGTTGTCCTGTGGTCTGTTGTCTTGAGGTCTGTTGTCCTGTGGTCTGTTGTCCTCAGGTCTTTTGTCCTGTGGTCTGTTGTCCTTTGGCCTGTTGTCCTGTAATCTGTTGTCAAGTCAAGTCAAGTCAACTTTATTTATAGAGCACATTTAAAGCAGAACCTGTTATCAAAGTGCTTAACAACAACAACAACAACAATCAATGAGTAAATTAATGAGAAAAATATATAATCATTCATATATACAATACACTAATAATGATAATAACTGAAGAATTAATAAAAAGCATTTAAAACATAGGGTCACAGATTAAAAAACACTAGATCAATTTACACTGTATGAAATGCCTGAGAAAACAGATGTGTTTTTAGCAGGGATTTGAAGTGAGGAAGGGAGGTGGCCTGCCTGATGTTGGGGGGCAGGTTGTTCCAGAGTTTGGGGCCCATGACTGAAAAAGCCCAATCTCCTCTGAGCTTCAGTCTTGTTTTTGGAACAGCCAAAAGCAGCTGATCGGATGATCTCAGGGCCCGAGAGGGAACGTAAGGTTCCAGAAGCTCAGAGAGGTAAAGGGGTGCGAGGCCATTTAGGCATTTGAAGGTCAACAGAAGAATTTTAAAAACTATCCTCGTACGAACAGGGAGCCAGTGAAGGGAAGACAGAACTGGAGTAATATGTTCAGACCTACGAGTTCCGGTTAAAAGCCGAGCAGCAGCATTCTGGACGAGCTAAAGACGTGAGATGGAGGCCTGGCTGATCCCAGCATACAGTGCATTGCAATAGTCCAATCGGGTTGTGACAAAGGCGTGGACTAGTTTCTCAAGGGCAGGTCTGGACAACACTGGCTTGAGTTTAGCTACCTGTCTGAGTTGGAAGAAGCTTTTCTGCAGAACAGAGTTGATTTGTTTGTCAAACTTGAAATCAGAGTCTAAAACCATCCCGAGATTTTTACCAGACTGCTTAAGATATGGCTGAAGAGAGTCCAGGTTGACAGGATCAGTGGTGGCAGTTGAGCTAGGGCTAAAAACAATGACTTCAGTCTTGCCATTGTTAAAGCTTAAGAAATTTGAAGCCATCCAGGCCTTAATGTCATCCAAATGTTTTAACAGCGGGTGAATGGAGCCAACACTTGCTGGTTTCACAGGCAGGTAGATCTGGATGTCTTCAGCATAGCAATGGAATGAAAGACCATGTTTCCTCAGGATGGACCCCAGTGGGAGCAAATAAAGTGAGAACAGAAGGGGTCCAAGAATCGAACCCTGTGGGACCCTGAAGAAAGAGGTAATGAGGCGGATACATTATTACCAACCTTGACACAGAAACTCCTGCCACTCAGGTATGAGCGGAACCATTCTAATGCAGCACCTGTGATCCCAACCCACTGTTCCAGCTGTGATACAAGAATACTGTGGTCAACAGTATCAAAAGCAGCAGTAAGATCCAGGAGCACAAGTACCACAAATTGACCAGAATCGTTTGAGATCATAATATCGTTACAAACCCTTACTAATGCTGTTTCAGTGCTGTGGAGTTGCTTAAAACCAGATTTAAAAATTTCGAAGATTCTGTTCTCATTCAAAAACTTGTTTAATTGAATGAGAACTATTTTCTCCAGGATTTTGGACAGGAAGGGAAGTTTTGAGATTGGTCTGAAATTTGAACAAGTCAAAGGGTCAAGTCCAGGTTTCTTAATTAACGGATGAACTACTGCATGTTTGAAAACATCGGGAACCACACTTGTCACAATACTACTATTTATAATAGTAAGAACAGAGGGTCCAATCGTGGGTAGAACTTGTTTAAAAAACGACGAAGGAATGGGGTCAGCAGGGGAACCGGAGGGTTTCATCTGACCAACAACTTTGTTCAGAAATGGGAGTGAAATGGGTTCAAACTGTTTGAAGACAACTGAGCAAGGGACAAAGACAGAGGGAACAGTCGTGGACTGGGGGATGGATGACCTAATCAACTCTACCTTATCAGCAAAGTATCTGGTAAAGTTGTTGCAGATGTCAACAGAGGCCTCCATGCTGGCAGACCGAGGCACGTTTAAAATGGAATTTACGGTATTAAAAAGAACACGGGATTATGACTGTTTGAAGCAATGATTTGGGAGAAGTATTTGTTCTTTTCAGATTTAACGATGCTCTGATAATCTTTCAAACATGTTTTTAACATAATAAAAGAAACCTGTAATTTGTCCTTTTCCCACTTGCGTTCAGCTCTCCTGCATAGACGTTTGGCTGCTCGAGTGGTCGCGTTCAACCAGGGGTGTGGTGCCCGCTTTGGTCGCCTGATTTTTAGCGGGCCACGAGGTCTAAACTCTTACAGCAGGTCGCATCATGCCTATTGAGCAGCTCCTGCGTACTAATACAGGCAGAGGTTTCAGGGACTGAAGCAGCATCAGTAAGGAATGCAGAGGAAAAAAGAGCAGCGGTTGATGAGTTAAATATCCGACAACTCTTGGCTGGAGCGGAGGATTTAGACTCATGAATAACAGAGGTTTGGAATCAAATGGGTTTGTGATCTGAAACAATAGCATCCCCAATTTCCAGATTAACCACAGATAAACTGTGAGACAGAACTAAATCAAGTGTATGGCCCTGTTGATGAGTTGCACCAACAACATTTTGCACAAGGTTGAAAGATTGTATCAGATTTAGAAACTCCTGCACCAAAGGCTTGTCAGGACAGCAAACGTGCACATTAAAGTCTCCTAGAATCAAGAGCCTGTCGTAGTTGAGCAGTATTCCAGTCAGAAAGTCAGAAAATTCACTTATAAAGTTTTTGTTGTATGAGGGTGGTCTGTAGATCAGGCAGCACAGTGTTGGGTTGGAGCGGCCCAGCTCAAAATGCAGCAGTTCAAAACTCTGAAAAGCTACAGCCTGTAGCTGTCTGCAGTTCCAGAGCTTTTTAAAAACTGTTAATAATCCACCACCCCTACCAGAAGTCCTAGGAGCATTAAAAAAGGCACAATCCATTGGCAACAGTTCAGAAAAAACATTTAACTCACCAGGGACAAGCCAGGTCTCTGTAACAAACATGAAGTCCAGCTCATTGGAGTAGAAATAATCATTTAAGATGAAAGTTTTATTTGTCAGCGACCTCACATTCAGCAGAGCAATCTTTGTAGGACCAGTAGATGAAGGTAAAGCTGTGGTCCGAACACAGATCCGCTGTTTCAGATTTCTGGAGTTTGAACCGCGCCTCCAAGGACCAGAGACGTCGCAGCTGTGTGCGCGCGTACCAGGCCCGGGCACCTGGAGCGAGCTGAAGTTGAGTGGGTCAGCAAAACATCCGGATGGACAGTTTAACATCTGATGGTCAACAGCAGATGACGAAGCAGCAGAGACCTTGATGCTGGCTTTAATCCTCACGAGACGGCCGGCACGTCTCCATGGCGCCTGGAGCGATGTTTTCGGGCGGGCAGAAATGCTGCGCACTGCAGGTACACCGGGACATCAACAAGCAAAGTGGGTGGGGGTCCAGAGCCCCGATTAAAGTGGTCGAACAAGGCGGGGTTTGCAGTAGATACAGGTCCTTCTAAAAAAATTAGCATATTGTGATAAAGGTCATTATTTTCCATAATGTAATGATAAAAATGAAACTTTCATATATTTCAGATTTATTGCACACCAACTGAAATATTTCAGGTCTTTAATTGTTTTAATACTGATGATTATGGCATACAGCTTATGAAAACCCAAAATGCCTGTCTCAAAAAATTAGCATATCATGAAAAGGTTCTGTAAACAAGCTATTAACCTAACCATCTGAATCAACGACGTAACTCTAAACACCTGCAAAAGATTCCTGAGGCTTTTAAAAACTCCCAGCCTTGTT